GGTCTGTTTTGAGGAAGAGAGGCTTTTCTAAGAGATGTCTTTCTTTTCTTTTAAGTCACTGAGCTTGACTATCCAAATAGTTCAAGCGACCAGTCAGGAGCTTCTAAACTGGGGTCCTGTCAGTGAAATCAAGTGAAGGTAAGACAGGCCGAGGGGCCTCCCAGCATCGGGCAGACGGAGGGGGGTGGGCAGCAGGCGTCAGGGGTGAGGCCCTGGCTCAGAGGCTGGCAGCAGGAACGTCCTCCCGGCGGTCAAGAGGCACGAAGGCCGCGCCGGGGTCTGAGCCGTCCTCATGGAGGGACGCCAAATGCCAGGAGGAAGGAGGACACTGCTGAGGGGAGAAAGGAGGGGCCGGGACAGACCCGGGAAGATGTTGTTTCGGGGTCACTGCGGGCAAAGGAGGAAGCAGAGGAGAGGTGGCTGGGAAGCCGGACGGGGCCAGGAGTACCCAGGGTCACAGACCCAGGAGAGCAGCATTTGAGATCAAGGGACGTTTAAGGCAGAGGACCAAATGGTCATTTCACAGCCCTCCTGCTTCCAAAGATAAGAAGAGTGTTAAAGGGCTTCCCTGGTGGCGCAGTGGTTGAGAGTCCGCCTGCCGATGCAGGGGACACGGGTTTGTGCCCCGGTCCAGGAGGATCCCACATGCCGCGGAGTGGCTGGGCCCGTGAGCCATGGCCGCTGAGCCTGCGTGTCCAGAGCCTGTGCTCCGCAACGGGAGGGGCTGCAACAGTGAGAGGCCCGCGTACCACAAAAAAAAAAAAGTGTTAAATAGTTAAAAAGTAAATGAATAAGCAACTAGCAAGGTACTGGGGAGGAGCGGGGAGCGGGGAGGGCAGGGACCCTGCTTCTGGCTGTTTCGGAGCAGGAAAACTCAGTCAGTGCCAGAGGCACCCCGCCCCGCCCCCACCAGCTCACGAGGGTTGCAGGCTGTCCAGACTCTTCGGGAACTGGTCTCGAGCCCTGTCCACCCTGAGTCCCCTCCTGGCTGTGCCGCCATTTGCCAGCAGTGCCACGCGGAGGGGCCCCAGCTGTCTGGGGCTCCCTGGGAGGCTCCACTGGCTCAGGCATGGGGACACAGCTCAGAGCCCGAGGGGACTCGGGAGCTGTGCAGGTTGCTTGGCAGGCAGGTTTTCCTCCTGACACCGGGGTTTGGCAGGTTTCCGTAGAGTGGATTCTTGGCGCATCTTTTCCCCTCTCCTTAGCTCTGGATGAAAGGAGAGCTGCTGCCTCCCGCCCTCCCCGTCCGGCTCGTCCTCTCCCTGCGCAGCTGCAGGTCCACGTGCTTCGTCGCCACGTGCAGTTACCTTGTGGGCCAGGTTAATGCCTGTCCTCTGAGTGGCCACTGATCCCTGGCCTCTGGCTGCTGAGCTCATCATGGCAACGGCGGCCATGGCAACTCGGGCTCTGATGGAAAAACCACTTGGCAAGGCTGGCGGGGTCTGGGACCCCAGGAACTAAAAGAGCAGGCGTGTCCGAAAGCGCCAAGTGCAGGCGGGCCGTGGGAGCAGCGGCCCAGAGCCCTCCCGTGGAGGTGGGCAGTGGGGCAGCCTCCCCTGGGGCTTTAGCAGAGGACAGCGGGCTCCCGGTGGGCCCTAATGGCCACCCCCGCTGAGTGGCATTTGAAACGCGTGGCACTTCTGCTCTTGTAATAAGTATTGTAAAGTGCTGTTTGTTAGCATTAAAAGAAAAAGAAGGAAAAAATTGTTAAAATCCCAGCCTCCCCACGGAGCTCTGGTTGGTTTTAACTTTAAAGAATCCTGCCACACTCTGCCTAGCACATCGTAGGGAGCGGCCGCTTGCTTCTAGAAAGTCCGTCGTCATGATGGCCTTGAAATCCAACCAGAGAGCCCAAGGAGCCCAGCAGGGATCAGAGGACTCCCCTTCCGCACTGAGAAGGCTCCTGTCTCTTTAGATCCAAATGTAAACCTTTCATTGTAGAAATTTAACCCCCGCCGCCGCCGAGGTCTAGAACTACAATCATGTTTTCGGTAATAATTTGTTTCTGGATCTCAGTGCCAGGCGGCCCATTTTCAATACTGCCCTGGAAGTCCCACACACGTTTGTCTGTGTATTCATTCGTGCGTTAAACCAACGGGTCGGGCCCCGAGTTTGGGCTGGACCTTGGGGGAGGTGCTGGGGCTTCAGTGGCGAGTCAGACCCTGAACCCACCTTGGGGGCTCGTGGGACAAGTGACAGCAAGCGTGGAAGACGCCTCGGGAGGAGGCGGAAGACACACCGCGTGCCCTGTGGCGGGACGCAGGCAGGGTAGGTCGCGTGGTAAACACATAGGTTCGGGGGCCAGGGGGTCTCCGCTGCAGCTTCGCGGCTCCACTGTGAGAGCATGAACGTGGGGCCGGCCGTACACGAACCGGTGAGCGAGGCCGTGCGCCAGTGAAACTTTATTTACAAAGCAGGAGGTGGGCCGGGTTCGGCCTGCGGGCCGGAGGTTGCAGGCGCCAGCCAGAACTAGAGCCTTGCTGAGTAGGTCCGCCTAAGGCTCCTTTGCCTTAAGGACTCTGACTCTGCTTGACTTCCTGTTTAGGATTTGGCCCAGACCCTGTAAAGTGAGCTGCAAACCTGTAGAAGCCGCACACCCAGAGGTGGCCACTGTGCTGCTCTTCTAACCGGTTTCACGTCGCATGTTGCCGTCTCCTTGCGGCTTCCTTCCCCGCACTGACTCAGACTCCACCTCGGGTGCTCTCCCCTGAACCATCTTCGCGCCTGCTGCTTCCCTCATCCGTGAGCAGCATAGATCTTCGACACGCACTGTGTCTGAGCGAGAACTGGGTGTGATCAGCCCTGCGCTGGGGCACGTGGAAGGTGCCGGCACAGCACGGAATTAGAACATCGCCTTCTGGCGGCCTGTGGGGGGGGATAGTGGGGGGCGAGGGGGTCCCGTTCATGGGGGCTTCCCAAAGGCCTGGTGCTGCCCAGACCCGAAGGAGCTCGCCGGCCGCGTGAAGGAGCGGAGGGCTGGGTGTGTCTTGCAGACATGCGGGCGCTTGGGACTATATGGTGCCATTAGGTCGTGACGGCTGGGCCCGCAGGGAGAGCGGCAGGCGGGGTCCGCGGAGACATGCGGCACCCACCTGAGCCCCCAGAATGCAGCCTCCATTCAAATCCAGGTCTTTTAAAAAGAAGCCAGAGCGCTGCTGGGGGCTGGGGGGGGTGACCTCGGGTGTCCCCACTCGACACTTGTAGGTTACACTCATCAGAGCGAAAGCCCCACAGCCGACCCGCAGCCCCTTCTGTGGGGTCCCGCGCTGCAGACGCGGAGAGCTGGCCGCCTCGGTGCAGGGCCCCGGACTCTGGCCGCGTCCTCCCGATGTCCCTTGAGCGGCTCGCTGCTGTGCTGCCTCCCGGGCTCGTTACCCGCTCTGGCCTCCTGCCCTTTCCCCGCCATATGTTTGTGGCCGGTCATCCCATATTTTATTTTGATGCTTTCTAAGCGTGTTAGCCTGTGCGGTTCACGAGTTGGCGCCCCTGCAGCGTCACCTACCACCTCCGTCTGGTTCCGAAACCTTTGCCGGGCTCCACCCAGCCCCCCGTGCCCGCCAGGCTGCCACGCCCCTTCCCCTGTCTATGGGTTTACCTATTCTGCATATTTTATGAAATGGAATCATACAGTACGTGGCCTTTGGGGTCTGGCCTCTCTCTCAGCATCACGCTTTCGAGGCCTGCCCACGCTGTAGCAGGTGTCAGGGCCCCTCCTTTCCTCGGCTGAGTAGTGTCCATCCTGTGGCTGCACCGCGGTTTGCTTCTCCATCATCCCTTGATGGACACTCGTGCTGCTTCTTCCCTTGGCTGCTGTGAGCAGAGCGGCCGTGAATGTGTGTGTACAAGGACTTGCGAGAGAACCAGTTTGCACTTCTTCTGGGTGTAGACCCAGCGGTGAAACCGCTGGGTCACGTGGTGATTCTAGGTTTTTGAGGAGCTGCCAAGCCATTTTCACGTGTTTAGTCAAGGGTATTTGGAGTTTTGCGTTCAGTTTCTTGGGGACTCATGCCGCCCGGCCCCGCGTTTGCTGTCCCCCTCTCATCTTCCACGTCCGTTTCTCCAGTTTACCAAGGTCGTTTGAATTCTCGTGCCACCCTCCCATGACCACCTGCTAGCCTGCCTGGGACAGGGATGCAGGGACATGAAGAGAACTCAGAGGCTTCCCTGGCTCATGGTGACTCGTGTCCCCCAGTTGTTCTCTCGCGGGGACAGGCCCTGGGGCTCTGCAAGGCAGCGCGAGTGGGGCACAGAGACTGGGGCAGGCAGAATTCGAAGCTGCCTCAGAAGGTGGCGAGAACCACGAGATGTGTGGCTCGGGGGCAGGCTGGGTGGTCCTGGAAGGGTCAGAGCCACGTGAAAATACCTCCAGGGCAGCCGACTGGACGGGAAGTTCACGGACGGGGAATAAAGTCAGCAGGAGTGGGTCCCTGGGCAGGACCAGAGGGCAGGCAGGGCGCCCCACTTGGAAAGGGCCCAGCTGTGCCCCGAGGCGGGTCCTTACCACCTCAGCAGCAAGTCCCCTGCGGAAGGACCTCCGGTGTCCTGGCCAGCGGCGGTGTCTTCGGTGTGTGTTTGGGCAGAAGGGGTCAGGGTGGGAGCGGGAAAGGCTGAGGCCCCTGCTCGGCTGCAGTGGAAGTGGCTCTGAACCCTCCGTGAGGACACCCGGCCACCCAGGTCCCATGGGGTCCTGGGAAGGTCTTCTCTGACGAGTTATCCCCTCAGCAGGAATGAAGGACCCGACGGCCAGGTCCTCTCCTGCACCCGCGGCCTCAGAGCGCTCGGGTAGTTGTGCCCAGGTCCTGACTGTGAGCTGGTGACTGAAACCCCCCAGACCCAGTGGCAGGGACAGAGGAGCCCACGTCTCAGAGGCACAAGTTGGGGGTGTGCACACGCAGGACTCAACTCGCCCCACTTGTGGGGGACACTGGGCGGCCGCATGTACATGAATGGCAGCCTCCACCCTGTGTCGTCCAGCTGGTCCCAAGACCTCCCTTCCCCAGGTTGGAGCCGTCGGCGACGAGGAAGAGTGGGTTACCCTCTACGAGGAGGAGAATGAACCTGACGCCCAGACGCTGCAGATCCCGAACCTCACGCCCTACACTCATTACAGGTGAGAGCGGCGGGCCATGAACCCCGCACAAGGAAGGGGGTGCCCCCATCTGCAGTAGTGAAACCTGGCTGCATGAGTGTAAGCGAGACACTTCCAGGTGGCCATAACAGTAAATTGAACCTTTCGGGGCACGAGACACGGTCGAGTGTTATTCCACGGAGGTGGTACCCGATGCTAGGTCAGCCACGCACCCTACTACCAACACCGCTGACCAGGCAGCCAGCAGCATGGCTGGTACATTAGGCTTAGTAGCCAAGGCCCACATGGTTGGAGATGTGGTGCTTTTCTTTACAAAACTCCACGACCTCTGGGGACTGTTACCGTGCTGTGTGTACACAAAGCAGGTGTCCTCAGAGTACCCTTCTGCTTCCCCCTCCCCGCCCAGGACTAGCAGTAATCAAGCACTTAATGTGCCATTTAACCTTTGCTCCTTGATCCTGAAACCTATCCAGGCAGTACATCCTTGGCCTTAACAAAGGGTAGGGTGGTCATGGGCTGGTAGAGACATCGTGACTCCCCCATAAGGTCACTGAAGGAGGTGGAATTTCCAGTTATCACCAGATGCTGAGTTTGATAAAGTCGCTCTTCTGCCAGGATGGATACATTTCATAAGATCGGGGAACAAAAGACTAAGAATGACTAATTCAGGGAGTAAAAGGTGAGATTTTCCATCTTTTTGCGCAGAACACTTTTTCAGTACAATATAGCAGGCTTAGGGTTTTTGGAAAAAACCTGATGAGGGATGCTGTTTAACTTACATTCATTTTACCATCCTTCCTAAGATTAGAGCAGATGAATCAAGATACACTTATTTTTAGAGAAAAACATTCAGCATAAAATGACCTGTTGGGATGCAAGACTTGCTGTGGGAAATTAGTATAAGCTATACAGTTATTTCAAAGATCAGAAAGTGTGATTAGAGATAGTGAACCTGTCTTAAAATCACGTAAATGTAGGAAGCCCCTACAATTAATACGTGTGTCTACTTAGGGTATTCGTCTGGTATATAAGTTCAATTCGAATAGTTGTACATATTAATAAAGAAGAGATAAAAACTGAGAACATTAACATCGACTTTAAAGAACATCTAATTCCACCCTCGTTTTATAGACAAGGAAAAAGGCAAGTCAGCGATGGGGTGAGAGTCACAGGGTGTGGAGTCTGGGGCCGTTGCTCGTCTCCTGAACCAACAGAGAATGGGTTGCAGGGCACCCTTGGTCATTAAGAGACGCTGGAATTTCAAAGCTGTCATCTGGTAGCGACACTGTGACATTCCACTTCCGTTAAAGAGCTACTTGAGCTCTGATCCCCTGGTCTCGCACTAAACTTGAACCAGCCAAGGGCATCTGATGGCACAGATTCTGGCCACGTAACCCATCCAGTCACGCTTCCCTTGGAACGGGAAATTGCTGAGTTGCGGTGCATTTACCATTCTGTGGAGGCTTTTAGGGAAAGAGGCCATATATGTAATTCACATTTTTAATGAAACCAGGTGGAAAGAGCGCGGCCTTGAGCAATGGCCTCTGTGATGCAGGCAGACACATATCTGCCCCTGCCCACCTCACACCCCTGGAAGTTGTGGGCGGGTTTCCATCCTTCCACATTACCTCTTGTGCAGAGTAACTCCGGTCGTCGGGTTTGCTTCCAGGTTCCGAATGAGGCAGGTGAACGTCGTCGGTGCCAGCCCCTTCAGTCAGTCCTCCCGGGTCATCCAGACCCTGCAAGCCCCCCCGGACGTGGCCCCCACCAGCATCACCGTCCGAACCGCAAGCGAGACCAGCCTGCGGCTCCGCTGGGTGGTGAGTTGGGAGGTGGGGGGCCTGTGTGGGAGCCCAGAGCTTAGTCATTTCCTAGTCTTGCCTTGTCCCGGTCCAAACTAATCTCATCGTTAAACCAGGAAGTATTGCATTTTACAGTCGGTGTTGGATCTCAGACCAGCCCCAGCTGTCTTATTAATTAGGAGCATGACTCACTGGCTTCTTGGAACCGAGGAATATTCTTTGGGGAGGAAAGCTGCTGGCCCTACAGGCTGAACCTGTTAAGTCCTTAAGCCAGGTTGACACGGAACCAATACTCAGTATTTGTAAGAGAGCCAGGTTGATATTGAATCAGAACATTTCCGCACAAAATTAAGCTGAAATGTATTAAAAGAAATTATGTCCAGCCAAAGTTACTGAAAGGACTTCATTTAATTAACAGAAGAAAAGTTCCAGGGGAAAGTAGAATAAAGGTCATAAGAATATTCACCCCAGAACATCTCTTCCGTGGACTTGGCCCCCTAAGACAGGCCCATGCATGGAGACCCTCACGGGGGGCGGCTCCAAGACCTTGGCTCACCGCGGGCTGTTGTCCACTTCCAGCCGCTGCCCGACTCACAGTACAATGGGAACCCCGAGTCCGTGGGCTACAGAGTTACGTGCTGGCGCTCCGACCTCCCGTCCACTGCGCTGGCCCAAGTCATCAGCGACCGGCTGGAGAGGGAGCTCACAGTCGAGGGGCTGGAGGAATGGACAGAGTACGAGCTGCAGATGCAGGCCTTCAACGCCATCGGGGCCGGGCCCTGGAGCGAGTCCGTGCGGGGCCGGACACGGGAGTCAGGTGAGACGAGGGCCGGCAGGGCCCTCCCCGTGTCTCCCTGGAGACCGAGCAGAGCGTCCTCAGTGTCACTGGCATCTCGCTGGCTCATCCCCCACTCCCCTGCCATGTCTATGTTGACACTTTCCTGAGTAATTAGGTCCAACTGCATTAGAGCCCATGACGCTGCTTTGAAATTGATGATGAATTCTACCAGGGGCTAGACTCGCATTATTACCTTTTTAATTAGGGGTAATTCTCACCACCAATGATGAAAAGTAGGAGTGTACAGAGACTCTAAGGAGATCTTTATAATGCAAGGTGTTCGGGACCTCCTCCTGATAAAGTCATGCGTGTGATTTGTTGAGCCTCCCCTGCGCTAGAAAATAGACCCTCAAAAGTTCGATTGCTTTAGCACAATGGTAGTTTACTTCTCTCTCATTACCGCCTAAGATGGGTGTTCTTGTTGTTGGGTGGCTCTCGTCCATGAGGTGACTCAAGGACCCAGGCTCTGCTGTCCTGTAAATTAACCGCCATCTGCATGCAGCTGCCGGAGGGGAAGAATGAGCAAAGGGTGGGCGCACCTGTGCCTTAACACCTGCCCAGAAATGGCACACACCCCTCTGCTCACCTCCGCGGGGCTCGGGGCACCGCTCACGGTCAGGAAGGAAAGGAAAACTTTCAGTGGTCTCTCTGGAGAATGCTCTTCTTCTAGGCTTTGTGGTCAACATGGTTTGCAGGACCCTTACTGGCCTGGTTCGAGTTTGTAGAAACACAGAAAAGTGTTGCTAACACTTTAAGGACGCACAGGACAGCTCTTCCCACTAGTCTGAAATAGTGAGGTTTTCTCCTGAAAAGGAAGAACGTCTCTGCTCCTCTCACCATCCCCTTACCCCGTGATGCTCTCCCAGTGCTTGATGTATCCTGTGGGGGGCAGGGGCGGGGGGTGGGGTGCTGTTTAATACCTTCCTGACCTCCGCCCAACGAGGGGTGAGAAGAAGGTAGAAAGTCTGAGACGGTGAACTAGCTCCATTGTGACTTAGCTGTTTCCTCGGAGGCTTCCTGAGCCCAGGGTGTGTCCTGTCTTCTCAAGGCTCCACAGGTACAAAAGCAGAGAGGTCACCCTGGAAGCCCGTGTGGGACGCGAGGGCAGCCAGGGGAAGCCAGCACCTCCCAGCAGCTGTTTCCACGCCGGACACCTCAAAATGTAATAAGTACATTTAAATTAATTAAAGACTTTTAGTAGGAAGATGAATAAGTTCTGAGTAACCTTATGTACAGCATAGTGATTATAGAAAGTTGTTAAGAACTGAATCACTGTGTTGTACAACTGGAACCAGTATAATACTGTATGTCAGTTATAATTCAAAAAAAAAAAGAGAGAGAGAGTCACTAAGAGAATAGATCTTAAACATTGTCACCACAAAAAAGAAAAATAAACAGTAATTACGTGACCTAATGGAGGCGTTAGCAAATGCTATGGTGGTAATCATCTTGCAGTGTATGAGATTAAAATGTGCAACATGTTGTATGTTGTACACCTCAGTCTTACACAATGTTATATACAAATCATATCTCAGTAAAACTGGAAATAAATATTAAAGTATTTAATTATTAAAGGAAAGCATGAAAACTTTAAGTAGAGATTAAAATATCATTTTAAACAGTTTTTTTTTTTTTTAGGAAAAACACAGTCATTGAATAAACCACTCTGATTGAGGTAAAAAGTAGGTTAGACACCGATAAAGAGGGAATTACCAAACTGGAAGCTGGAAATGAGTAAAAAAACCTCAAAATACAGTGCTAAGACATCAAGATTGAAAGTATGATAGAGAGGTTTAAGAGACATAAAGAACAGAATGAGAAGGTCCAACATACATTTAATGAGACTCAGAAGAGAAAGGGGGGAGGGAATGAGAGGGAGGAAATACGTGGAGATTATGGCCGAGAAATTCCAGAACTGATATAAGACATTATGTATCTGACTGAAGACGTGAATCCTGAACAGAATAAATAAAAATAAGTCTGCACCAAGATGCACTGCACTACACCTGCAAATACAGAAGCCAAAGAGCAATCTTAAAGACATCTGGAGCAAAGGCATCTTACCTACAAAGACCATTTGAAGCCAGCTTCTCAAGAACAAGAGAGGCCAGAAGACAATGGAATAATGGTCTTGAAGGAGCTGAAAGTAAATAACTGTCAACCTCAAATTGTACACCTGGCTACACTTTCCAAGGATATTGTTCAGAAAACAACAAACTAAATGTTATGTAAAAAGATGAAGAAAGTGTCTTTCAAAACAGAAAATAATACTTTGGGGTAAGTTTTCAAAGAACAAAGTAAACCAGTGGCAAAACTGCTGCACTGAGACTCTATTTTTGTAAAAATCCTTCCAGCTGCTGCGCGGCCATCTTTCCAGCGGTCAGAGGCCATCGCTCTATGTGTGAACTCACTCCAGTGTTTCCTTCTACCTCTGCTCTCCTCAGACAATCTTGGATCGTCTCTTACGTGGACTCTGAAAAGACTTTGCTGAGCAGTGTCGTTGTCTGAGGTATAGATTTTGTATCCAGAAAAGCACTGTGGGCTCGCTTTTGTCTCGGTTGACAGATGTGTGTACGTGTGGCCAGAAGAGGACCGTGTGCAGGCCAGCGGGGCTGACTGTGGCCAGGCTCATAGTTCGCTTGCTGAGAAAGCTTCTGATCTCGAGGGAGAATTGTTCCTACAGCTTACACTTTGCTTTGCCAGCTATCCCGTTCTTTCTTCTTTTGAGGGTTATGGCTTACAGAAAATTATCTTTCGTTTTTAACTGAATGTTTGTTCAGTGAGAAATTTTGGTTCAACACGTATCTCTTGGAGAAGAAGAGAACAGTTTTGGTTCAGCAGGTGTTTCCATTACAGCTTGATAATAGGGTTATTGATCTTCATTTCAAGATATGGGTGGTTCAGATTTCAGATTTTTTTTTTTTTTTTTTTTGTGATATGCGGGCCTCTCACTGTTGTGGCCTCTCCCGTTGCGGAGCACAGGCTCCGGACGCGCAGGCTCAGCGGCCATGGCTCACGGGCCCAGCCGCTCCGCGGCATGTGGGATCTTCCCGGACTGGGGCACGAACCCGTGTCCCCCGCATCGGCAGGCGGACTCTCAACCACTGCACCACCAGGGAAGCCCTCAGATATTTTTAATACCAGAAGAGTGGGCTCCTTGGGACCCCTTATGGGCTGTTCTCTCCTCTAGGGAAACTGGTGCTGTCATGTTGGCCCCTCCATCTGGGGCTGGTCCTGGAGGGGTTCAGTACCCCCATCTCCAAATGGAGCTTCCAGAACCTTCTGCCACAGGAAGCTTCTCACTTCTGACCCACAAGCCCCTCCCAGCTGTGGCAGCTCTGATATCTTGCCTTCCCTGGTGCTGCCGAGGTTGGGCAGGTAGCCTCCCCAGCAGAGAAATCAGCCCCTTCAGATGACTTGTCCTGCCAGTCACTGCTCAGCATTGGGCAAAGAGGGTGAAGGGGCTACACGGGCCCACTGGCGGAGTGCTACCACCACCACTGATGAGGGCGGAGAGGGGTTGGAGAGAACTGGTGGGGAGAGGAGAGCTGCACTCCCACCTCTGGAACCCAGCGTCACCTCCGTGAAGATAGCCGTCCATCAGTGCTTAGAAACAGCATGGTGCGCAGACGCGCTGAAAGCCAGCGATGGAGGCACCGAGCAGAACGTCTTGAACCACATTTAAATGAGGTTTCCAGTTTTGAAGTGCAATCAAGCTGGTTTCATGACACCTTATGATATATTATAATATATTATAAGGGTAAATGAGGCCCTAAAAATCAAAGAGACTACATGAGGAGTAGCTGTGAGCTGAGGGGTGAGAAACCCTGTAGAGGAGAGAGAACAACTGAAGGAAAAACGCATTTTAAATGGTATTGTTTTTAATGAAAGGGGAGATTCTAGGATGGTCTCAAAACTCAAGATATCAGGTTGGGAAAGAAGTTGAATCTCCTTCAAATTAGGTAATGAGTAAGATTTTTTTTTTTTTCAAATCTTAAAAACATAAATACTTTGTAATTAGATGGCAGAGTTTATCCTGGTGGGACTCGAATCAGCTGAAATGTTCATCCTGAACACTGCGATTTTCTCTGCCTGTCTTCTCATTAGGAAACCAGCTGTGTTCTAGGCGCCGGGGCTGAGTTGCTGTGATCACAGGGTTGCCCTCATTCTCTGGAGATGTGGATGGCCTGCCAGTAAATGGATGCACATGTCACTGCATCTTAGAAAATCAGCTATTATTTGTAGATCTACAGTGAGAATTGGGCATTTATGGTTTCAAAGATTAACCTGAAGGAAGCAGTTAAGGATTGAGAGGTTGACCGTTTGTGTTGCTATGACAATGGCTTCTCTCTTCACAGACAGGGATGGGAGTTTAGAACATAGCACCAGTATCTTGGGCATAGAGTATATTTTCTGCTCTCACCTGATTCTAAATAAAGTCAGAAAACGAAGTTAGATAAATGGGAGGCTTACCTTCTCTTTGAACGATAATGACTCCTTTAATTCACAGTTGATTCCAGGTGCCAGCTTATCCCTCAGTTTTTTATAAAATAAGCATGGGTGTAAACAGTGTCCTGGTAACTGCCTTGGAAGTTACGACACCCGGTGGGGGCCCCCAAGGCACAGAGAGCACAGGTGACGCCATGGGAGCCACCGCCAGAGGCAGGGGGCACAGGGTGGCATGTGTGGCAAGCGTGCTCCCCTTCAGGGGGCTGAGTTAACCGGAAACCATGAAGATTCTTTTCCTGTGACACTTATCTGCTCAAATAAATTAATATTCTTTTGTTGAATGACTGAATAACGGAATGAATGACTCTCAACTGACATATTTGGGAAGAAAAAAATTTTATCGGCCCAGTGGGCTGACTTGCATCTTCTCTCTCCAGAAATGCCAGGAGGGCCCCTGTGCTTGGGACTAACAGGCACCAACAGTGGCATCTCTGTTTTGTGGGCACTGGCAGCCGGTCTGGTGCCTGAGTTCTGAGGACAGTCAGTCAGTGTAGCTAAAGTGGACAAAGGGAGGGGGGCCACTGCCTCCTGGGCATCGAGCCAGGGAAGTCGCCCTTTCCTGGGGCTTGCAGCCCTCCCAGGACAGAGGTGGCTGAGCCCAGGTTCAGTGTCCCCCAGAAGCTCGCCCTGTGAGGTGGCAGCCTGTTGCTGGGCCTCCTCTTCTCTCCATCTCAGACCTGCCAGTTGTGGGAACGACCAGGTCAAGCTTGCGACAACGGAGCAGCACCTCTTCCAGGCCCAGCATGAATCCTGGCAGATTTTTCTTAAAGCCTGTGTTCATTTCCTGGGGCTGCAGTAACAAAGGACCCAAACTGGTGGCTTCAAACAACAGATGTATATTCTCTCGTAGTTCTGGAGGCCAGAAGATGGAGACCGAGGTGTCAGCAGATCCGTACTCCCCCTCTAGAGGGGCCGGGAGGGTCTGTCACAGCCAGCCCCCAGCTTCCAGAAGCTCCTGGGCTGTGGCAGCACAAGCCTAGTCCTGCCAGGGGGTTCTCCCCACGTGCACATCTGTTTCTTCTCATACGGACACCAGTCCTATTGGATTAGGACCTACACTACCCCTGTGTGACCTCATGTTATTAATTACATCTGTAACAACCCTGTTTCCAAATAAGGTCACATTCTGGGTAGTGGGGTCAGGACTCCAGCATAGGAGCTTGAGGGGACACAATTCAACCCACAACAAAGACCAAATCACTTCAGTGTAGGAACTCTAGGAATCACAGGTTGGGAGCACTGTCGTCGTGCAAACACACGTTACTTTCCGGATTCAGACTAACTGACTAACAGAGTCACCTTCACAGTGGCTGTGCCATGAGGAGGAAGTACTTATGCGTGAGTGAGCGAATGGATGGAAGGGTGAATGGATGAGTGAGCAAATGGATGGGTGAGTGAATGGAAGGATGAGCGAATGGTTGAGTGAGCAAATGGTTGAGTGAGTGAATGGATGGATGAGTGAGCCAATGGATGAGTGAGCGAATGGATGGATGAGCAAATGGTTGAGTGAGCAAATGGTTGAGTGAGCAAATGGATGAGTGAGCGAATGGATGGATGAGCAAATGGTTGAGTGAGCAAATGGTTGAGTGAGCAAATGGATGAGTGGGCGAATGGATGGGTGAGCGAATGGATGGTTGAGTGAGCAAGTGAATGAATCAGTGAGTGAATGAATGAAAGAGTGAACCAGCCCACAGGGCGGTCCTGGGGGGTGACTGAGAAGATGCCAAAGCCCCATCACGTGTTATGTACCCATGAGATTCGTGAACTTGATGTGTTCTCCTTTTCGACCGTGGAGGCTCTGGGGGGTGCTGAGAGCTGCCCTTTTCTTGGTGCCTGTTACTCCCACACAGGGATGTGCACTTGGTAAACCTCCCCTCCCCTCCCCTCCCCTCCCCTCCCCTCCCCCCCCCCCCCCCCCCCACAAAGTGCCCCGTTTGGAGATGTCAGTAAACTGGTGTGTGACAGTGAGTATCTCCATCTAGGATGAAAGTCACAGTTCTCACAAGTTAATATAAGACTCAGACGAAGCTTATTTTCTTGCTGGGTGGACTCAGGTAAAATTGAGCTCATAAACACCCAGGATTTATGGAATTTGTTGCTAATATTAGAGAGATTTACATTTCTGTGCAGGTTTAATCTGATGACTGCAAAAGCTCAGAATACACCGCTATTTCAAGGACTTGATTATGGGGTAAAAATTAGGCGTTTATTAGCAGAAGCCTTTAGACTTCGGGTGCCAGTCTATTTAACTCATTCTCTGCAGTTCCTTCAGCCGCCCCTGAAAACGTGTCAGCCGCGGCCGTCAGCTCCACCCAGATTTTACTGACGTGGGCGTCGGTGCCCGAGCAGGACCAGAATGGGCTCATACTGGGCTACAAGGTATGTGCTCAGGCGACCTTCCTCCGCCCACGCTGTGAAGGTGCTGCCACCTGTCTCCCCAAACCCGTGAGCCCATGTTTTCCTGCCGATCTGCAGCTCTGGCCTGTCTCCTGATCCCACATCACTTGTCTCATCTACCTTCATCACAGGCTGGAGATGAGGCATCGGTGTTCCCTCTTCCTGTGGGCCAAGACAAGGCACTAAAAGCTCTGAGCCTGTTTCCTCACTTGTAAAGTGGGAGGAGTGATGGTAGCTCCCTCCCAGGGTTGGTGTGGGAAGTGGCTTTTTCTGTAAAATGCTAAGGACGTATCATTAGATCCCTGCACGTGTGTCTGCACGTGTGTCATCAGAGGTGAGGGTTGGACACCTTCCAGCTTCTCTGGAAGGCGTTTCTGGGTTTAGTCTTATGTGTGTTTACCCAGACCCTTAAAAACCTACTCTGTTTTTGTTCCGTCCCCTCCCCCAAGAAGCAGGACAGATCTTCCTGGATTTGGCCACAAGGCCACGCTTGTCTCATGCACTGCCGCCTTCTCCTCCCCGCTCTCCATCATTTAGATCCTATTCTCTGTTTCCCCCACCTGTTCTCATGCCCTCCCCCAACCCCGGCACTCTGATGGTTCCCTTCTGGCCCCTTTAGACATGGCGATCCCACTGAGTGGGTTCAGTGACCAGCACTCCACGCCCCCTACCCGGACCCTGGAGAAAAGCGCTCGCCAAGCCCTTTTCAAAGTCCCCCCGATGACCCCCTCTTTTACGGTCCTCTGGTCACTGATCTGAGGGACCAGTTCTGAGAGGGTGAGCTTAGGGAATAAGGGGGAGCAGGCGGGCCGTGGAGGGGGCATCTCAGCGTGCTGTGTCTGCAGCGTGGGCAGTAAATAGCCCAGGGGCGGGGCCTCGGGTTCAGGGGGAGAGCAGAGGTCTCCTGAGGCAGGAGCCTAATGTCCCAATAAGCCGGGCAAACGAGTGGCTGCTGGCCCCTTGCACAGGAAGCAGAACGTCTCTGTGTTCCTAGCGAGCCCTGGTTTCAGTGGCTGCCGCTGGGCACCTGAAACCCTGTGAATTACAGCGGGGCGTCTGGCTCTCCCAGTCTGGCCATGGCTGGGGCACATCTCCAGCTGCCTTCCAGTCTGGAGTCCAGGTGCTTCATCTCCATCTTTCCCGCAAAATGCCAGTGGATAGGAATTAGATCCCTAAGCCCTCAACACAGCTGCCCAGGGGGAGGACCCTCAGTTGCCTGGTCCTTGCCACGTGGTCCAGGCCCGCCGAGGCCCCTCCTTGCACACCGTCCTCCTGACCGCCCCTTCCCCCGGTGTGTCATGCTCAGATCCTGTACCGCGCCAGAGATCTGGATCCTGAGCCCAGGAGCCACGTGGTCCGAGGGAACCACACGCAGTCCGCGCTCCTGGCGGGTCTGGGCAAGTTCGTGCTGTACGAGCTCCAGGTGCTGGCCTTCACCCGCATCGGGAACGGGGTCCCCAGCTCGCCCCCCATCCTGGAGCGGACCAAAGACGACGGTACGTCGACGGCTTGCCTTTGCCCGTCTCCCAGGTTTGCTGTCGCCATCCAAACCCTTTGGACGGTTGTCATTTTTAACTTACTTTTCAAAACACTCTTTTTTCTTCGTTTCAGCACAGGAAAACAAAACAAAGTTGTTTTCTGGTCACTGAGCGCTTCTATGGCCAGTTTCAGCCGGAGTGAATGTTCATAGCCTAATTAACAGCCTGAGCACAATTTCATCGTAGCTCTGCTGTAGGCAGTGCAGTAAAGGCCGGGCAGCTGGGCCAGAAAAACCTAAGGCCTGGTGGTGTTGGCACAAACCTGGCTGAAAAACCCCACTGCAGACCCCGTGCCTCAATTCTAGATTCTCTGGGCTTCCCGCTCTCGTTTGCATAGTAAGGGATCATTAGAGGCCCCACAGAGGGTGGTGTGTGATGGGCTCCCAGGATACCCGGGGTTCGCAGCCTCCGTAACAGGGACATCTTGACGGCATTGTCTAAATCATCAGGAAATACGTTTCTCCACTTTGCAGATGTCAAACACTTAAAGGTTAGCTGCTTTACATGATCTGTGTTAAATAGACCATGATGAATATTCTGGGGGAAAATGCCAGTCTCCCCCCAAAAAACCCAGGCTCAGAAGCAGCTGACAGAAGTGAAACACCCATAGATTTTCTTAAGCATCTTTACTGAAGTAATTAAATCAAGCCCCCGACGCACTCTGACCGCTGAGTTGACAACGTTCTCTCCGTGTTCCTGGGAGACACCCGTAGCTGGGCCTCCCCTGGGTCAGAAGAGGGGGCGCCTTGAACCTGGTCCTTCCCTGGGAGCTGGTCTCAGGGCGGCTGGAGTCTGAGAGGGACCGTGTAACCTCAAGGTCATGTCTTTGCAACACTATATGCTCTGTCGAGGGCCACACACATAAAAAGTAACAGGAGCTTTTAGGAACTGTTCCTCAGACTCGGGCAGTTATCACGGTTTCTTCCCAAAGTATAGGCTGGGGAGAGTCATGGACTGATTTCTCTTTCTCTGTCACAATCCCGATATAAACGTGTTTCTCCTTCCCCTCATTTCATTGTGATGCAAATGATCAGCCTTGGGGACAGTGAGGGGGCAGAAACCACAGAAGACCGACGTCAGAGCTTCCTATTCGTGAATTGGTCGTGGTGCGTGAGCCCGTGGCCTCCTTCATTCATTTATTTTACCTGAACACAGGGGGTCATGACACATGTTTATAATGTAAAATACTCTTCTCAACCTAATAGCTTGAGGCAGAATTCAGCAGCCCTGGAATGACTGTAACGCACGTCGTTTTATTTGTGTATTGATTGCTGCGTGCTCATTGCCTCTTACCTGGGAACCAGTCAGTTCTTAAGTTCCAAGAAGGTCCCACGCTGGCCACACGCTTACTCGCCTCTCCATTTAAGTAAATATATTTTACGACGGCCGTGACCCTATTTATTCAATGGTGCCGGAATACGTAGCTGGTTTTTGAATTACTGGTGCACCAGACCACACAGAAGCACTATTCCGTGTGTTTGTGGACATCAACTCTTAATTTTCTGGCATAATGCAGGAGAGGGGTCGTGTGCCTAAGAGAAAAATCATTGGTTATAGCCCTGTTACTTGGTCAGTAATTGTAACCTCCATTTGGAGGTGGGAGGGACCTTCGGCCACCTTATTTATCTAACACCTGCTTGGTGGATGTCCAGCCCAGGAGAGGAATCAGCTCGGATTGGTGAAATCTCTCCTGTGACTTGACGTACCCCCTACGACGCCGCTTAGCGACTGGGCAGCTAGCTTTAGGTGACACGCTCACGGGACTCACAGCGTAGCTCATGAGCACTGCTTATGCCGCTTGGAAAGCAGATGAGCTGGATTCAAAATGAGGCATTTTCTCAAAATCATTAGGGAGACACACAGAGATTCCAAAAGTCACTTTCCCAGAACATAGAGTAATTCACCCATGAACGGTGTCATCGGCAACCATGACTGTCCTCGGCCAGCCCACAGAGTCCTCCCCCACGAGGCCCCGCCGTGTACCCACGTGGCATCCCAGCGGCGCCTGAATCACCGGTCTTTTTTTCCCTTCAGCCCCAGGCCCACCCGTGAGGCTTGTGTTCCCAGAGGTGAGACTCACGTCTGTGCGGACCGTGTGGCAGCCACCAGAGGAGCCCAACGGCGTTATTCTGGGTAAGGGAGCGGCAGTGACTAAAGAGATCACAGCTTAGAGAGAGATCACAGCTTAGAGGGAGATAACAAATAGATCGATTTCATCTATTTTTATTAGATGTCTAAGAGGTTAAAAAAAAATCCTGTCTACAGCAGCCTGGCATCTTCTGAACTGAGAGACTGCAGCCCTCTAACTGTGTCCTGCACTAAGGTTTCTTTGCAGAACGAAATTTACATTTTGTTAGCCCAGAATTTCATGTTCCTTCGTGGTTCGTGGCAGTACCATCTGTACTTGACCTTCCATCCGCTCTGAAATAACCCAGTTATTTTGATGTGTGTTTGGAAAACCACGGGCTTGTTTTTCATGGAAGATTCACTCCCAGGCTTTGCTCCGATGTCCCGGAAACGTCTGTCTTCTGCTGCAGGGCCTGCACCTAACCCTTTGAGGAAGTTTCCCGAGTGAACTGCATGCTTAGGTCTCAGGGAAATGGTTTACTCTGAACATTTCATTCAGAGCACCAGCTCTGATAACTTTGATGAAAAGCCTTAACTTGTCCTAGTTTCCTAAAGGCAGCACATTTTATTTTGAAAAGTCATCAGCCCCTTTGTTTGTTCGCCCCTTTCACCAGGACAGATTAAGGGCCTCAGATATGCCAGGCCTCAATGCTCAGAGTGGTAGGTAAGGAGTGGATAAGATGTAGGGGGGCCGTCCTCGCAGGGTAGACACCAGCGACACTACCACGTGGTCGCGATGCGGTAGGGGTTCCAGGAAACGCCCTGCAAGCCACGCCTCCTGGGCCAGGGGGCTCAGTGCGCGGAAGGCATTGTCGGGCTTTATCTTGAGGATGAGTGGTAGCAAACCACAACTTGGGTCCGCTAGCCCGTGCCCAGTAAAGCCAATCTACTGACATTGGGTTGCAGTGAAGGAAAGCACGGCCTTCATTGCAGGGCAACGAGCAAGGCGTCCAGGGCAGCTGGTGCTCAAAACACCCCAACTCCCCGAAGCGTTTCAGCAGAGCATTTTTAAAGGCCAGGCGAGGGAGGGGGGTCGCGGGGTGTGTGATCAGCTCACGCGCAGCTCTCTGAGTGGTTGACGGCGAGGTCACAGGGCAGTGGCACAGGGGTTCACGGGATCAATCCTCAGGCTCCAGTAGGTCTGGGGACTACGTTTCGTGCTCAAGGTCATCGAGTATTTAACGTCTTCCACGTGGTGGAGGTTTTAGCATCTGTAAAACAGCTCAGGGTAAGGGCATCAGATACTGTTACCTGGGTACCTCAGAGAGGAGCTACAGCAGAGGATACGGGGAGGGTCCATGCTGGGAAGGCCCCATAGGGTCCCGCTCGGTTGCATAAGTGGTTTCCAAATCCTTGAATGGAGCGCTGCCTTTTGCCTGTGGGAGCACAGACCTCCCAGAGGGAAACGTGGGCTGGGCCGGGCTGTGAACCACTGGGAAGGCCGTGCTTCACGTGCGGGAGGGGCCAGAGGCCCAGACCTTTCAAATTGGGCCTTTAAAGGCCAAGCACGAGGCCCGGTGTAAGCTCCAGACGCAGGCAGCACTGAGATGCGGTGTTAACCTCCTCACCCACGGCAGACCCCACATACGCCTGCTTGGGTTATTGGGGATTGACGGTAGGACCATAAACACGGCTTACAAACAGCAGTAAAATGCACCACTTAGACCTGCTTTTGAGCTGAGGATTATAAGATTTGGTCTAGAAAAGGGTTACACTTCATTTTTTTAAAAAAAATTTGAAAATCTGTGCTGAGGACCTTGAGAAGCGAAGTGACACGATCGGATGTGTCTTTTGGATAATGTCTGGCAGCCGTGAAAAGGGTGACAGAAAGTCAGATACTTACTGAGTTCTGACTTCATTAAGACGGAGCCTGGGGCTCCCAAGTCATCTGCACAGCAGGCCAGGGGCCCTTCGGCTCCACTCTTTCCTTCTGCAGTTCCTGCAGCCACTTTGCTGTGACGACAGTGTTTCTGAACTAGGTGACCTCTGGAACCGCAGGTTCTTACCATTAAAATCACGACAAACAGCCGGAGAAGCCTCTGTTGCAGTGTGCATTTCAGATCCCGTCCAGCTGAGGGACCATCGCAGGCCGGTCTCAGGCCCTGGGGCGGCAGTGGTCTGCGGAGCTGGCTGCTACCCTCCAGGTTTCCTGGAGCCCGCACGCCGGCAGGGCCTGCCCCCGACTCAGTGCCCAGCCTACAGCCTTTCCCGGAACAAGCAGGGCGAACAAGCAGGGCGAACCGTCTGTTTACCCAGGGCATGCCCCAGCACGCTGTGGAACAGGAAACATTTTCAGAGCACAAGATGCGAAATTCCACCTGTCACTTCCAGCCCTAGGAGCCTTCCAGAGCGGTGTTCTCTGTGAGGATCGGGGGCCCCGGCTGCTGGGGAAGGAGGCCCCAGGCCCCAGGCCCCCGCCACCGCCTCTGCTGATAACCCGGCTCGTCCCGATTCTGAGATCATCTCTGTGCTCCCCGCAGCCTTCCTGGGCCAATAAGAATTAGTTCTGACAGCAGGACTCCACGGGGATGTGCAGAAGGCAAGTGTGCCCTTCACGTGGGATTCCCTCTTCGCACAGACAGCCGTGTGCTCTGGTTTTGTTGCTGTGACTTTGAACTGCTCATCCGAGGGCTTCCCTGCCAACACGGTGAGGCTCTGGCCCCAACCAGCTCTGAGCCGTGGTACTCGCCTGGTGCTTTGCCGGGAGAGACCCCCTACCCCGGGCCGCTGCTCTTCCTTTGACAGTCACATCAGATGGCATCTCTGCCTGCGGCTTACCCCCTCACCCATCCCGACCTGGGCTGGGCTCTTCTCCGCTTTGCTCCCAAAGCACCTGCGCTCACAGTCACAGCACGAATCCTCCGTCCACAGGAGACCGGCGGCTCACTTTAGAATCGTGCCACCTGCTTTTAAGGGTGTCTTCAACATCAGTTTTTCTGATCATAAAAGCACGTGTACAATGCAGATAATTTAGATAACGTTTCACATTCATCCAGTTTAGAACCACAGAAAGTCTGACGATCCCCAGCAGAGGAGAGGATTTGGGGATGCAGCGTCACACACTCTTGTCGGCAGCGTGACCTGGCACAGCTGCGGTGGGGCGATCCGGGCATGGGTGCACCCCGTACCCCAGGTCTTAACCCTGGAGACATCCTCACGCCTGTTCACAGGAAGAAACGCACAAGGAGATCCACTGCAGAGCTGCTTTAAAGAACAGAAAATTTAAAAAAAGAAAGAACTGGAAACAATCCAAATGTCCATCAATAAGGCAATGAAAAGGTAAATTGCGGGCTGTTCATTACAGCAGAAATCACGGTAGCAATTAAAGTAACGAACAAGACCTACATGTGTCAACATGAATAAGTCTCACAAACACCTGTTGAGTGAAGAAAAGCAAGTTGCAGAAGAATATATCCAGCTTAAGAATGTCTGTGTACATTTAAGCACTCCACAGACGTTACCGTGTATCATTTATGGCTACACGTATATAGTAAAAGTGTAAAAACTTGGCAGGAATTTGCAATAAGTTGAGAATAGGGGTTACCTTTGAGGAGGAGGATCCAATAAGACCACCAGAATAGCTTTAACTTTTTTCTGTCATATTTTCTCTCTTATAAAAATAAAAACAAAAACCATAAAAATTTGGCAAAATCTCAAGATTTGTTCAGTGTGTGATGAATACATGGGTGTGTGATCTATATTATTCCAAGTATTTTTCTGCATGTTTGAAATACTTTAGAGTACAGCTAAAGTATTAGTTTAGAGTACAACTAAAGTATTAGTAGAGAAGCCCCCGCTCACCGCAACTAGAGAAAGCCTGCACGCAGCAACGAAGACCCAACGCGGCCAAAGATTAATTAATTAATTTAAAAAGTGACGACGGCCCTCCCCTCTCCTCCCCACCCCGGACCCACAGGGACATGGCCTGAAGTCCCACCACGGACACTGGCCGGGCGTCACGTCCGCGGGGACGTCAGGGCAGGTGTGGCACAACAGAGGGTCGCACACGGCCCAGCCTCTTCGGGCTGCAGACGGTGTGACGCAGAGACAGGAACCAGGCCCAGAACTGCTCGTCTCTCAGGATGTGGCCCCACGTACACAGCCCTGAGCAGTGGGCCTCATCCTCCCGTGGATGCCCAGGCAGGCACGGTCTGCACGACCTCTCCGGCAGGACCACGGGCCGCCCCCGCCCCCTTTGGGCCTCCCCTGTGTTTTAAACAGTGCGTGGCGGGCAGGCTGGGTGGAGGGGCAGCCACGTGGCCGGGCGCCGACCTCGGCGAGTGAATTCACACCAGTCACTTAGTCCCCGTGTGCCTGGGCTTCCCCACCCTCCAGGGGGGCGGCATGTACATCCCTGGCCGGGCCAGTACGTGGTGCACGGAGAACCCAGAACAGGGCCAGCCTCCCAGCAAGTGCCTGGTCAGCGCCAGCTGGAACGCTGTGGCCATTCGGTATCTCACCCCTTCTCTTGGACCGGGGAGTGTTCTGCATCACTGTGTATTTACACTCAGTATTTACCCCGTACCCACCAAGGGCGTGTTGCACAGCTTTGCTCTCCGCTACCCTGGCGGCTGGAATGGAGGGTTTATGCTGGAAGGCAGCATGGGGCCAGGTCACAGGACTCCCCCAAGGCACTGAGAAGTTTGGGTGTGGATCCGTAGTCCCTGGGGGTCGCTGAAAAATCACAAAACTCCAGATAAGGAGGGGGTCGTACTTTAATCCTTTGACGGTTCCAACCGTGGCCAGACAGAGGCTAAGTGAGACAATGCTCTGTGTCCCTCCAAAGTGGGAGACGTCACACTTGAGCCTCCGTGGCTGCAATGGCGTTGAGTGGTCATTGTAACGAACGCTGTCTTGGGTCACCTGTCACCTGGATATCGTTACAGCCGGCGCACTAAATGGCAGGTGCCGTAGGAAAGACGGGAAAACGGTTTCTAAAGATTCGGACTGGTGTCCACAGGGGACAAAGGAAGACATCTTTCTTCGAGACTCACTTTGCATCCGGG